CTGAGCCGCGAATTGCAATTCTCTAGTGAGAATTGTCAGGTCTCCATCTCCCATATGATGTGTCTCCTGTAAACAAATGACATCTAACCTATGTTGGGCCCATACTCTAGCCGCAGCATGGATACGAGTAAATGCCGAATGCGTGAATAAACCTGCTACATTATGGGACGCTATGCGAAGGGGTCTATTATTAGGCCTCCTGCATCTTGTCCGTCGCCCCATTTACCTAGGGGGTATTTCCGTATCCCCATTTCCGCGGACTACTACTATATTTCTCACTTCCTCCTCCTCGCCGACTTGCATGAGGTCACCCGGGTCGTCATGTGGAAGAACATGAAACCTGGGCGGGCTTATTACCGAGTCCCTCCTCTTGTGTTGGGGACTGACCCCTGGAGATGACGTGCGTGACGTTGGTTTGTCCGCATGCTTGCCCAGCACAGGTTGGTCGGTGGGCAGAATTGGGTTTCCACGATGCGTCCGTCTGTTTTGTAATTGCCATTGCTGTTCATCTGGCCTATTTCCGGCCACATCTTGAATCGGTTGGCCAAGTAAGGGGTGCGTGATGGAGTGAGTTTTGGGGATAGAAGCTGATGTCGGTAGTCCCGGTTGATTGGTGGTTGTGTATGAGAGCTGCTGCTGTTGTCGCTGCTGCTGCTGTACAGGTCCTATTATACGGAATCATAGGCAATGTCGTTTACAACATCAAGTGTATACATACCTGTATACCGCATAGCCTAAACTTCCCTTGCTACAGGTTATGATGTAAAAATGTACTTATAATACTATGCCATACATGATCGTATATTAGGCCATCACTTACACATGCGCCTCTTATGCCTAAGCCTTTAAGTCTCGTATAATACGTGTACACCTTACTGGCCTATATACCTTTCACCTATTTTCCCGAATATCTCGCCTATAAAATGCCCGAAAAAATACAGTAGGTGACTCACCGTGGGACCAGGATCAAACAAGTATGCTGTGCAGGTACACGTTACTATATTGAGCTACCGGTGCGCAGCATCGACCATGCAGCACAGTGTTACATTTGGCTTCAATACTCTCTGGCGCCATGCAGGTGAAGTCCAGGCCAAGTCCCGACGGTGCCATGCCAGCCCGCTTTTGCACTGCACAGCCAGCTGCATTGTACCCTTCCGAAGAATCTTAGGTTTTTTAAGCAGCCCCTCCATGTGTCCGGTCGTACTGTGCCGAATAAAACATCCGTACAGAAGCCCAAAAGCCAGGAGCGAATTTTACCGCACGGATGCGCGCGTGCGATTCGCAAAATGCGCCTGTACAAGTGTATATAAATTCCTGGCGGAAAGACCGAGGATCGCCAGCGCGTTGCGCAGGTGGGCATGTTGGCCATAGCCGCACGCGGCATGCAGGCTGGACTATTGCGTGGCTGCTTTGCAGTAACTGAAAGCACCAAAAGCCAACGTCGTAGCTTGCAACTCTGGGCTCGTGAAACTGCCGCGGAAGATGAAGCGCTGGCGAAGAGGCAGTTGTATGCAGCACCTTGTTCAGAGTAAAGTCAAATTACAAAGTTGCGCAAAGTATAACATACATAAACTTAATTAAACATAAGAACAGATAAGACGTTTAGAGCCTTGTCGGTGACATGGACGCCGCTGTTGGCTTGGAACAGCTATTTGCTGTGCATAGGGACGTGCCCGCGTTAGCCGTGTTGCAACAGCTCAGGATGGATTTCAGCCAGCAACAGCCTCAAGAGCTGCTGCACAACCACCGGGAATGTCTTCAGTTGGGCACGTGTAGTTTTGGTCGGCGGGGTCGAGCAACGTACGCAATGCGCACAGAAACAAAGGTGCAGCGTTCTGTAACATCGCCAACATATCCGGTACGCGGTGGCAGGCTTGCCGAGCACGAAATGAAGGGGGGGTCGCATCTCACCATTCAACTAAGCATGCATGTGCTCGGTTGAATGCTCGGTAGCGTGCGAGTTTACCCCTATCAGGATGTTTGTTTGCATATCCCTCCAAGCGAGAGGGCTTGGACCCTCCCTCCCTCCATGCCCGTGCAGCGTTCTTGTACAACGTGACGGCAGAAATACATGAGGGCGACATGCCGGACAAAGCGACGGCCACGCACGCCACAATCATGCAGCTGTGGATCGCGGCTGCCGGCAGCCTGCGGGCGGATACCGCCATTGCGCTGATCTATGATTACGGCATGGACGCGGGCACCGTCCTCAAGGCGGACCAAGACTTCGCGCTCTCGGTGCTGAGCGTCGGGCACCCTCCTGGCCACCACCACGCCAGCCAAGCGAGCCGCAACCAGCCCCGCCGAGCCACTTTCCAGTGCCCCCGCCCGCACGTGACTATATACCATCACATGCGCACCGACCGGCAGGGTGTACGTCGGCCAGTCCCGGGACCCTCAACGGCGCTTCCAAGCTCATGCCCGCAACCCACCCAGCCGGATGAAGGACGACGCCTGCTGCTACCAACCCTTCCGAGACCACTTCACCCTCACGCGCCTCATGTCCACCGCCAATCCTGCTCTGGCCCAAAAGATGGAGGCCCTCTACATCGCGCAGTTCAAGGCTCAGGGGCCGGGCGGCTACAATGTGCTGCACAGGCCGTCTTCCGCCAGCCCGGCCTTCTACGCTATGAGACACGTGCAGCGCCCACACGCCCACCGCCGTCACAGTCCAAGACGATGACGCCCCTGCCACGCTTGCCTAGCCCACACAGCAACTGGACACTTAACGCTTGACGGATAGGGTCCCACAATTTCGGCGCTAGGCTTCTGGACATTGGGCGGTGCTGTTGAATTTGGGCACGGTCGCACTTAGGGTGTCATTCACTGTGCATACATGTCCGACCTTAACTCGTGTGTGAACGGCTGCCCATACGGACAGCAGCGCTTGGGATGGTCTATTGTGTGAGCGTTCGGGGATAGGGGGGGGTCCGCTGCGATCCTTTCTATGTTGCCCCGTCGCGTCATCGGGGGCAAGTTGGTAGCAAGTTGGTAGCGTGCAAGTTCACCCATCATGTTGCCTGTTCTGGCATGGCCATCCACGCGAGACAGGGAACTTGAACCTAGGCATTCTTCTTCGTTCCTACATCATAGCATTGACCGACGCGACATCGCCTGTGCACGCGCTGTTCCTGTGGGGCTGTTCTTGTTCTTCTAATTGTGGTTCCTGTTGTTCTTGCATACATGACTGCATATACATTGCACCGTGCGCCAAACGCCCTGGAAACAACTTCGACTCATCTCACATTCCATTATGCAAACGCACTTTCCTCTCCAGCCTGGCCCCATTCTGTTCCTCGCAAAAGTACTTGGGCAACTTATATTCCAACACCATACGGACTTTAGAAACGTATAACGCGGGCAGCTGCTTCACAAGGACCCCCCTATTTTAATCTTTATCAGCAATCCCTAAGGAATCCCAACCTCTCATTACTTGCAAGTTGATTACCAGCCCACCGCGGTACGACACCTGATCGGCTTCCCGGAGATGCTTCGTCTGACCAATCTAAGTCGCCTGAGTCAAAGAGCACTCCAACGACTAATTCAAGAGCCAAGTCAGGTACTAAAAACGCGTATTACGCTGATAGTGCTTTGGCTCTGTCGACCTTCCGCGGTTATTCGCAATCAATTACGTCGAGCAGTGGTCGCTTAGGTTTTAATATATTATCATAACGATATAACCGAGGTGATTTTGGTTATGTTGCTAAGATTACCAGCGGTTTACCTTCCGTACCGCATCACTCTCCTACCGGTGTCGCATCGCGTCATTGTGCGCAGGAAACCGGGTTGGACGTCTCCATACACACGAGCTTCCTTGGCGGGCTATGTCTTAGCAGGGAACCCCTTAGGCGCAAAAAATCTAGGTTGTCGTGTTTATCTACATGCCCCACCAAGCAAGCGAGTGTGGCGTTAAGATCTGCTAAGTTGATCCTAGCTTTATGCATGCAAGGCATAAGAAAGCATGAAACCAGCTCGGGCCTTGTTTCCAGTGGGACCTGGTGGGGCCTACCGTTCGTCGCCGTCGCTCCCGAGTCCCGCAATAAACTTTTCATTCCGTCATTTATTTTAACGTTTCTATGCAAAAATAAAAAGTTTTGAAAGGAAATGGAGCGACCCGAGCGAGAATATGTAAACAGTAGGCTTTAACTCATCCGCGGTAACAATTGACTCATAATAGAATTTCACCTCAAAAACATAATGGACGTTTCCACACGTACCATAGGACGAAGGTCAAATAACTTCCCATTAGCTACTTCCATCCATTCCATCCACAAAGCCAAGCGCCCATGCCCACGCACGAAATGATCGGCGGGATCATGAGCTTCTGCCTACTAAGTTGCGCACAGAGCTACTAAGATTGACTGAGAATAAATATTGGACTTACTCGTACGTGTAGGCGGAGTAATCTTGGCATGCCGCCTGCTGACCCTCCGACGCAGCAATTTCCGAATCGCGGCGCAAGTACTGGTTGAACAGCGCATCATCAAGGACTCTACCACATGAGTTGAAATCTTGGGATAAAGTAGGGACTGGCGCTAACGTTGACACCAGCAGCACCAGTGCAAGGTGCGGGACCCAGCTCATCAGTGCCATGGTCGGTAAGCTTGCGCAGGCGTGCGTTACTTCCTGCCGGGGCGTCTGCTTCTCCGCACTGCAGGTGCAAGGTGCAAGCGAACGTGATGACGACAATCAAACACAATGTTGTGCGATAAAGCACAAAGCACTAACGCTGTTTGCTGCCGATGCAAGGGAGCCGAAGAAACGAATCGCCCAAATGAACCACCTGATATGTATGTATACCATGCGTCATACCTTTGTTCGTTAGTCGCCCAGCGCTCCAAAAGCTGTCAAAATAAGGAATCAAGTGTTCCTGATTTTATCGTGAGTAGGCCGCAGGTGGTTTTCCCTTATACTTATGGAGCACAGAATCATAGGGCCCCAATGTCGGCCTTCGAATCTACGGGCAGGCTGCGTGCATTCTCTCTCATACATGTTCACAGCAATAGGGTATTTTAACACACCTAGCCAAGTAATGAAGCAGATGTGGCTACAGTGTTTACCACTATCTTTCATACATTCATGTGCATGAGTTGTGCAGGTTTTTAACGTTTGCCGATTTCGACTCTGCAAGGTCGTTCGACGTTTCGCGTTGCAACCGCCGTAACTGTAAATGACAAGAAGAGGAATTGGACCCCTCGAACCCAACACCACGATAGCATTAATCTCTTGCATTATACACAAGTGCTGCCTCCAACCCCGAGGGCATTGTGACGCGCTAGCCGATGTCGCACGTGCACGCGAGGCGGCGGGGGGCGACGCGTGCTAGGGTCATTTTATGAGGCTTCTTTGTTTCAGACCCAACTCCGTGAGGATAACTGTTCTTAAACAGCTAATAAGCAAAGCTAATCAAACGGAAGATTTCGTAACTACTATGCCACGGGAGGCAGGCTTCGATTGTAATTGTGTCACGGGGCGGCATTGCGAATAGCTTCGGTTACTTCTGTCTATCTGGCGTATTATTTCCATGTCGCAACTGCGCCTTTAGTTCTAGGAACAAATTTACAATTACGGCCAAACAGCTCTTGACCTGAAGCCGGTTCGAAAGCTAAGCCGGTTCGTTTGCACAACTCAGAAACAAACTTTCGGCTATATCCCCTTGCCATACCATCGCGCCTTACTCCGTTTTCGTTTGTGCTTTTATGATTCGATGCTTTATCGGGGGGTTTTCCACTTGAAATAAATTCTCACGGATTAAGGCTTAATCTGTCGCATATTAATCTGTCGCATATGAAAACATCGCGCGGATTAGGCGGATTAAGATGGGCGGGATTAGTATAGATATCTGCGCCCGTATCCCCTCGCTTTGCGGATTAAATATAGATTAACATGTAATGAAATGCGCACATCCTTCCTATACTAAAAGCTCAAACTCGGTGGAAACATTTTGGTACTTGGAGGCCATCAAGTATCAAATTGACAATCTCGGATTAACACGTTTTACAAAGCCTCATTAAAAACCTGATTGATAGGTTAGAAGTTTATCCTTTATAAAGGCTGTAGGTGTTCCTAGTTTTGTGGAAGCTTTGCGCTTCTTGTTCGGCATTATGCACCACACCGTGGATGTCGTTCAAAGGTGCTGCAAGGCCTTCATGTTGATACTCGATAGTCTTTTAAATGTCTGGCAATACTCGTTTTTGCATTTTATGCACGGAATGGCAAATGTTGTACTTCAATCTGTTCCCTAATCCAGACGTATGAAACATTCCTCGTGGATTACCGGCGGATTGGCGTGGATTAAAAATACCTTAATTAATGAATTTTATGCCAAGTGGAAACACCCCCTTATAGCCAGTTCACATGCTACGTTACGTTGAAACTTTTTGGAAAAAGTGGTCGGTTCGGACGTGGTAACGGTACGTTACCGGTAAAGTGGACGAAAAGTCTAAAGTGACCAGGGGGGGGGGGTTCAATTTCGTCAAACGCTGACCCCTCGTACCGTTACTTGAAATGCGTCGCCAATTTCGCGAGTTATAACAAACGGCCAAGCCCAATCGCTTATAAAGACCACATACTTGACAAATTGTGCGCGCTTTGCACTCCGACTGAATTTCTAGTCACACCGCTGCCTTATATTATAAAAATGAACAAGGACAACGCCGCTCGTGTTGCTCGACCGCTCACGACCGCTTATAGCCAGTTCACATGCTACGTTACGTTGAAACTTTTTGGAAAAAGTGGTCGGTTCGGACGTGGTAACGGTACGTTACCGGTAAAGTGGACGAAAAGTCTAAAGTGACCAGGGGGGGGGGGTTCAATTTCGTCAAACGCTGACCCCTCGTACCGTTACTTGAAATGCGTCGCCAATTTCGCGAGTTATAACAAACGGCCAAGCCCAATCGCTTATAAAGACCACATACTTGACAAATTGTGCGCGCTTTGCACTCCGACTGAATTTCTAGTCACACCGCTGCCTTATATTATAAAAATGAACAAGGACAACGCCGCTCGTGTTGCTCGACCGCTCACGACCGCTTACATAGCCAATATGTAACCCATTGTAGTATCAGGGCTGAAGCCACCCGCGAAACGGCAAGTCGGCCGCACTTCCGGCGGCATGGGCCGCGCCGCGTCGGCCCACACGCTCAGTCTCTGCCACTGAGCATTGAACATATCTTCAAGATTATCAAAAATTTCATCCAGCGCGACCGCTAGGGCAAACGCCATCGCGGCTCGCGCGGGATGCAGTGCCATTGCAGTAGGCAGGGCTGCCAATCACCCTTCAAATATATATTGCAATTCTAAGGGGATCTTCTGAAGTTTTGGCCATTGAAAGACATAAAATGGAGATGGTTTTACACAGCTCGCGCCAACGAATACAACGTCGTCGTAATGTCCCGTGTGAACTGGGTGACTTTCTCAGGGCCACTTTTACCTAAAAGTTTTCGCAACGTAACGTAGCATGTGAATCCAGTATTACATAGCCAATATGTAACCCATTGTAGTATCAGGGCTGAAGCCACCCGCGAAACGGCAAGTCGGCCGCACTTCCGGCGGCATGGGCCGCGCCGCGTCGGCCCACACGCTCAGTCTCTGCCACTGAGCATTGAACATATCTTCAAGATTATCAAAAATTTCATCCAGCGCGACCGCTAGGGCAAACGCCATCGCGGCTCGCGCGGGATGCAGTGCCATTGCAGTAGGCAGGGCTGCCAATCACCCTTCAAATATATATTGCAATTCTAAGGGGATCTTCTGAAGTTTTGGCCATTGAAAGACATAAAATGGAGATGGTTTTACACAGCTCGCGCCAACGAATACAACGTCGTCGTAATGTCCCGTGTGAACTGGGTGACTTTCTCAGGGCCACTTTTACCTAAAAGTTTTCGCAACGTAACGTAGCATGTGAATCCAGTATTAAGGGGTTATTCGCACTCGGATGAAAAGTCACGGATTCAGGTATCTAAACTTCACACTAATCCACAGCTACCGGTACTTATATCCCGAGCGTGAAAGACAAAAACGAATAGTATTGAAGATATTTCTGACCATTTTAAGACAGTCGAGGACAGGCGGTCCTTCATATAAAATTTCAAGCTTCCAGGAAACTAAAAATTTTCTACGAGGTATATAACGGATAACCTTTGAAAGGTGTAAGCCTCATTGAAGCAGTATGTGATTTGTTCCGAACGGGTCGAGTGATCTGCACAACACTGTGGGCCCTGTAGCTTGCACCGTGTGTCCAGCTAGTCGGGCCAAGGCGCACTAACATCACTGGGCCTATGCCCTCTGTTACTGCAACGAAACACGGTAAAACCTGATGCAAGGACGCGCGACCATAATATACTGTTCGTACACATCCAAAATGCGAACGCCACGGCGGGCCGCGCAAAGGGCAGCCTTCAAAAGCCAGGAGCGCTGCGTTACCCGTATGTGTGTGAAATTCGCGCGCGTGCGGTGATTTGGCTAGATTGGCTGCTGTGAGGACCGGCCAGCGGGTTGCACACGCACCTGCGAAACGCCAGGGCGCGGAGGCGGGCGGGCGCGTCCGCATGCCCCTTGAACTGCATAAAAGCGCAACCATCGTGTGTTTCTGGTGAAGCAGCTGGGTGCGTTTATTGCAGCTTCGTAGGGTGCGGCCGTACAGTGGCGGTAGTGGCTTGCCGTGCATAACGTGAGGGAAAAAGAATGGTAGTGCACAGTCTGTAGCATAGGAGGCGCCGGCGTGTGTGCGTATGTGGAAGTGTTACGTGGGTGGTTGGAAGCCAGCAGTGTGGATATGGACAGCTTGTTCAGACGGCCAGACGCACATCACATCCGTTTACACATACGTCGAAGTAGGGAAAATGTATCGCGCCCCGGCACTGCACTTTAGGGCGCGGTTGTGTAGTGAGCGGCGTGGGGATGTAGGCAGGTCCCCTAGGCACAAAAGCAAACGGGTGGCTGTGGTGAATGCAAGTTGAGCTAAATGTTCGCAAGGCTGCCAGCAGCAAATGCGGCGAGAAGTCACACACAGGTCGTCTAAACTGGGGGTTCAGCCGTCGTTGACAAGCCATCGCCAAGCAACTTCGCAGATGCAAGTTCGGTTAGCCGTGGACACGCGCGTAGTGAAGCAGATGCGGCCATGGATTTACATGTGGCAGGTTCGCAGAAGCAGGAGTTTTGGGGGATTTTTGGCGCTCAGGCCTCATCTAGTAACAACGCGCAAGTCCTTATCAGTATTTCCCGATGGGCCTTCTGGTGGGGGTCCGAGGACTTTTGCCAGTTGGGGAGTCGAATGGCAAATTCCCCAATGGTTGCGGGTTCTGAGCCTTTCTTTTGGGTTTGCTTTTGACTGTATGTGGCTTGTCTGGTCTGGATGGGAGTCTTGTTTGCCCGCATCACATCAGGTGCAGTAATGCACGGCCAGCTGGCCAGCTGGCTCTACATTTTGTGAGTCTGGAGCCCACTGTAACAACCACACACACACACACACACTCGTAATGCCGTGTGAGTTACTTACTGTTTTGGCCAATGTTGTGCCTCTCCTATTTTGTTTACTCAGTTTTCCTTGCGCGATTGAAGCTGGGTGCATCACAAGCTTTAACGAGCTCGTACGGTTTAGGTGAACCCGGAGGCTCATGAACCGCCTCAGTCAGGCAAGAAGAAGGTAGAAAGAAAGACCAGTAGGCGCTTAAGCAGCGACTGCACCATCAAAGGTTGGTATGGTCTTGAAGCTGTTCATGAGCCTTCGGGTTCGTCAGAATCGTACGAGCTCGTACCATCCATCCGTCCATCCATCCATCCATCACTAGTCTAGTGCACCTCTACCAACTTTCTAAGTTAATCAGGGGCGACGTCTGATTGGAAGCATGCCGATATGCATGTGTACATGCGGACACGGACACATATGGGTATACGACACACATCCATAAAAACACTATCGCTCACTCGATGACACTCTGTTAAGGCATGGATAGCGACGAAGAGGACGTGGCATCCATTTGCATGTAAATTATTGGCGGTCGTACATAGGCCGCCGTCGGAAGCAAGGTCGTACAGCGCAGGGGTGAGAGGCATCTGCCAGCCGCCGCTGCTGCCCCACAATGCGCAGGCGATATTGAACAAAACGGCGGCGGGCGAGCTTGATGTGCATTGTAAGGGAACAAGCTAGCTCTAGTTGGGCAGATCCACTGCTGGTGCCATAGGCCGCTGCGTGCATCCAATTTCACGCAGGAAGCTAGGTAATATAAATATACGATGATGAGGCATGAAAACTGCCGGCCTTTACTCCGAAACATGCATAATCGGTATTTGTTAATTTGATGATAACATCTTACATTGAGAGGTATGGCAGCGTCCCCAAGCCGTGGGGACCTCTGCCGTTGGGGAGGGCCGTTTGTACCGGGGCTCTCTCCCCTTGGGGAGCCTGAGAATCTCCCCAAACGATTTTCCCTGGGGAGTATTTCGCCGTGGCTGAAGCGCCCTCACCGGACGCGCCCGACCAGTTAGGGAAGGTCCAGGAGTGACTCGCGCCGCCTAGCGCCATCGATTTCCCGCAATCCCGGCGACCTTCCCGACGGCCCAGCACCATACCAATTTGTACGGCATGTACACCCACAGTTCTAAAGCTCCGCAACAATCCTCAAGAGCCGGACAAAACTTGAATATATTTCAGCGTCCTAATGGAGGTGATTTTCCGTGTTTACTTCCAAAAGTCCTAAAGTCGTTCACATAGATTGGGGTCTGGCCTTCAGCAATGCTTAAGGCCTATCGCATAAACCAATACAATCCTTGGCGTTAGGCAATTTTCCTACAAACGCCGTTCCCGAAGCCACTTCTCCATGGCTCGGAAGGTGCGGCGAGGTTTCTCATTATTTAATTGTTTGCCGATACTCATAATTTGCCATAGCTCCTATGTAGAAGACGGCAAGCACAATGGTCGCGGCAGCCCTGCGCAAAGTCTGCGATGCACTGGAGCAGGTTTTCACCAAATTCTCTATGGACACGTTCAAGGGCCTACGTGTTAAGTGAGTATATTGATGGGTTGTTTTTGTGGAAAATTTCCGGTTACCGCCGTGTTGCCATACCATAACCCTGAGGCTCCATGCTCGACTTTAGGCAACTCCCGGCCGTTGTGCTTGTCGTTGCGTCCCCGACGTCCTCGGAGATCGAGTGCCACGATTGGGGCTGGATGAGCGATCGTCGGCTTATGCCACACGTCGAGCACTTGCTGAAGAACGCGTACGCTGTGAGGCAGCTGCAGGCACCTGCACCGCAGGTCCGAGTCAAAGCTCGGAAACAGCAATCAGACGACATCCAGCGTCCCGAGGCGGAATCTTACTTCGTAAGGAATCTAGGGCGATTGGCCTGGCAGGCAAGTTGGAGACGGCATGGTGCTGGGGGGCCTGGCAACACAAGCCTAGTTCTTACCGTTGTACTATCTCCTGCAGATGGTCCTAGAGCCCGCCCTGCAGAACACGTTCGGCACTGCGGCGCAGTACGTGCCGCATATGTGCAATAAGGGGGTCACCAAGGACCTGTCAGCCAGGCAGATTGGAAGCTGGGCGCCTTCAAGAGTCTGGAGGCCCCTGCACCTGCGGTGGCAGCTGTATGGCCACACGTGTTGCCCTGGGTTTCCCATGCATTCCCTTGGTGAACGCACAGACTGTGGATCTACGGAAGGAACTGTGCTTGCAGCTGATTGCATGGGCAGAGTCACGTGACGAGCGGTATGCCGCCAAGGTGGCAGAGTACGTAACGCTTTCCCATGCTTTGTTGCCCTGTTTGGTACTTCCACACTTTCATTTTGCCTTGCAGGCTGCGAGCCACGAGGGAGGAACTGACGCGGAGTTTTGAGGTGGATATGCGTGTAGTAGCTGCATGCTTTCGACATCACAAATCATGTTTTTGGATGTGAGTGCAGGAAGGGAAGCAGGAAGGGAAGCAGGCAGCCAAGCGGGCAGGGGCACGCAGCATGGCAGCTGATTTGCTGGATGGGGACCTCAGTGATGCAGAGGGCCTTGAGGAGGATGTGGTCGACGTGGGCGGCAGAAACGGGCAGACCTGCCACAGAGCAGGTAATGTCTGGTGGTGGCAAATTGGGCATTATTGCATTGCTGACCAATGGTACCCATGTACAGGGACATCGGCGGTCGACCAGCAGCAGCTGCAGTGTGCCTTTGAGCGTTTCAACACGCGGAAAAAGAAAGAAGGCATGTCCGAACTGAGGGCTGCGCTAGCGGAGATGGGTGTGAGGCTGAGCCGGAAGGAGTTGGGTGCAGCACTCAAGACTGCAGGGTTATCATGGGGCCAGCCGACACCGCAGCAGGTGGGCCAAACCGCATCATGACTGTCTTCTTAGCACATGAGGCATGCTGTGAGCCATGGAATGCTGACGAGATAGTTTGTAATGCAGATGACTGAGGCCTTTCAGCAGTTCGATCAGCTTCGTGAGATGTTCGGTGAGGAGGAAGCCATTGGCATGGTAACCGGCATGGCTGGCTTCAAGACAACAGTCGCGACACGCAAGAAGCTTGTTGATGCTGGGCTATTGGAGGCACGTAAGTTGGGTCTGGACATTCTTGTGACTAGGAGAAAACATGTTCTTATGAGCTCTCCCCTTGCAGGCAAGCGTGGTCGGCCTGGATGGGGGCTGAGGTCTGGTCATGCAGTCAGCACCGTCAGCACTGATGATGACGGGGCATCGTATTCGAGCACAGGAGAGGACGGGGCTGGAAGCACTTGCAGCAGTCAGAGTGGTGGCGCCGATGACCTGGACCCTGATGCACCCTGTGTGGTATGCGGGGAGACAGAAAAGGGTACCCGGGGTGACATGCTATTGTGTGATGGATGTGATGCTTGCTATCACATGACTTGCCTGACACCACCACTATCCAACATTCCTTCTGGGGACTGGTATTGCCCACACTGTGAGCCCGTTGTAGACATGGCTGGTGCCGCATTGGGCCCCAGCACCAACGGTGGTGGTTGGAATAGCAGCCTTGATACAGTGTTGGGGGCCGAGCCGGTGCAGCTGCAGCCTCCCATGCACGCTGTATTGAGCCCCCGCGGCAGCAGTGGGGATGATGGGGTATTCGGTCGCGAGACAACACGGTTGCTGCTGCCCACTCATGGTCTAATGGGCCCCACTATCGGTGGAGGTGGCAGAAGCGGTGGCGGCAGAAACAGTGGCGGCCAAGGTGGCGGCGGCCAAGGTGGCGGCGGCCAAAGTGGCGGCGGCCAAAGCAGCGGCAGCCAAAGTGGCGACGGGCAAAGTGGCGACGGGCAAAATGGTGGCAGCCAAAGTGGCGACGGGCAAAATGGTGGCAGCCAAAGTGGCGACGGGCAAAATGGTGGCGGCGGCCAAAGTGGCGGTGGCCAAAGTGGCAGCGGCCAAGCGGGCGGCAGCCAAAGTGGCGGCGGCCAAGCAGGCAGCGGCCAAAGTGGCGGCGGCCAGGCAGGCGGCAGCGGCGGTGATGGGACTTTGAGAAGTGAGATGACACGGCTTCTGCTGCCCACTCACACCGTGCTGGGCCCTGGTGGCAATGGAATGATGTGGTCGCTGCCGCATATCCATGCCGTGTTGGGTCTTGGTGCGAGTGGTGGAAGTCACCGCGGCAGAAGCAGTGGTGGTGTAAGTGGCTGCTGTGGAAGTGGTGGTGGTGGAAGTGGTGGCGACGGTAGCAGTGGTGGCAGAAGAAGTGGTGTTGGAAGAAGTGGAAGCGGTATCGGCAGTGGCAATGGGGCCTTAGGAGGCGAGCTACCGCAGCTGCAGCCGCACCTGCATGCTATGTTCAGCCCTAACAGCAGCAGTGGTGGGGGGATGGGAGGCGGTGGAGCAGGTGGAAGGGGCGGCATTGGTGGGACTTTATGGGGTGAGCAGGTGCAAGTGCCATGCATGCTTAGTGCATGCAACGGTGGTGATGGGGCCTCAGGAGCCCAGACGGCCCAGTTGCCGCCGTCTATGCATGCCATATTTGGCTCAAATACCCGAGGGGGAAGCAGCAGCAGTGGTGCCGGTAGAGGACGATTGGGCAATGGCGGGAAACGGGCCGCATCTGATCAGGGACGAGGGAGGGCGAATAAGGGTGGCAGGCTTGCAGCAATCCTGGAGTCACTAAAATGAACGGAAGATGCAGTGTTGGTTTCACTGCACTGCGGCAACGAGATTGGTATGACACAGGTTCCAACGTTGGGATACTGACACCATGTCCGTGGCGGCAGAACATTGAGCCCGTGCTGAAAAGTCATTGCAGGGGACGCGGCCACCCTAGGATATAACCGAATTGCATTGGTATTCTAATGTCATGAAGGTCGTTGTGTCAAATTTTCAGGGTGATTGGAGGGGGTCGACTTCGGAGGTACCGGGTTTCGCATGGCATTTGGATTCTCGAGTGTGGCCAGAAGGGGAGGTTCGAAGAGTTGAGGTTGTCCCTTCCAAGCCAAAATTTCTGTTTGTAACCTTTGTTGCTGATTGAAAAGGCCTGTATAAAATTTTCAGGACGCGGGCTGCTTGGCAGAAATCCATGTCGAGATATGTCGCCATGTCCGTATGCCATGGCCAAGGTCGACCGTTGACACTCAACTCTGACACTAGTCAAGTTAGACATTGAAAACGAAATGACGCCCATCACAGCTCATGGCATCAGTTCAGGGTGCGGCTTACCGGTATGTCGGCATTGGTATGGCTGCTTTACGTTCCGGAAGGCCATCTCCATGAATGCCAGCTTCCCTGCTCGAGAGCAAAGATGGGTAGGCCTGTATCAGAGTCCTTGTGATCCTAAATACTATTACACCTTGTAGGAAGCAAGCACTGTGACCCCATGGCTGCCTCGTTGAACCCTGACCCATTGCTGTTGTAACATCTGCAGCCTGCACCTGCCAGATTTATTGCTCAATGCCCAGCCTTCAGCACAAAGGCATGTATGTGTCCTGCCAGCATTAGAGACCTTGAAACGGTGAACGATGCTTCCCGAGATGCCAAGATACTGTAGGTTGCTAACATGTACATGTACAAAAGATATCCTAAGAGGACAACAAATAAGACCAGTAGGCCCATGTCCATAGTCCAGGGCAACGGAGGGGGTTACCCTGGGGCCCTGTTACCCCTCCTGCTGGGTAGGAACTTACAAGGGGGCTACGGGGGGTTGAAGGTGGGTAACTGATGGGTTACCGAGCCGATCAGTGCCATAGGGCTGTGTGGGACTGTGACAAGCCCGTGGGTGCATCTGCATCACGACCCAGGGGATGGTTGCGCGACCTCTGGCATGCCCATCTGCTAGCTGGGGACGGCGCTTCCACTGATGGAGTTTGTCTGGGACTAAGGCACTGACGTCGTTGCACGCACCCCACTGACCCACGGGTCGGTTACCCTTTTCCTAGCTGTTAAGAGGAGCGCTCAGGTGGCACACCATGCAGCATGCACCATATGCACCTTGCCGAGGAACATTACAATGTGCCGTGGATAAGAGCCATGGCCAAACAGAAGGCTGTTCAAGCAGCTGTCAGCAATCCAAGTGGTGGCAGCTCCAACCATGCAGCATATGTCTACCGAACAACAACACAACAACACGTGCATTGCCACCTTTCCCCAAATACAACCAGAGGATACCGAGCCGTCATTGCCTCACCAACCAATGTCCGTGACATTCCATTCCCCAAGCCGTGCATCCCATATACGGATAATAGCTGCTTACATCAACGAGGCACATCCTGGGTCGATTGCAGCAAGGTAAACCCCTCGAGCATGCGCTGCTGCCATGCAAGGTGCAAGAGCAGCAACTTTGCATGACTGCTCGTTGCAGCCACATTGTGAGTTGCCCCCTCCAGCAAAGCGACCCGGCGGACATAAAATGCTACAGCACACTCAACTTCATTCTGAATCAACGCCAACTCCTCCTTGCACCGTGTTTCCTCCTGCAGCACCCGGCGCAAGCTTGCCTCCAATCGTGGCACCCCATGATTTGACTGTGCAGCCCAGGGATAACGCTGTGCATTTAGCGCCTGGCCTAGCGCTCCCTTCATGGCCAATGCCTGCCCAAGCTCCGGTGTCACCGCTCCAGGTACAGCACTCCAGCTAGTAAGCTGCTCCCAAAGCTGCACAAACCGTTGCCTGGCGCACCTTTTCTCCTTAATGGCCAGCTGCTGCTGATGCCGCCGCCCGCTGAGTCGCCGTACCACGTGCTCCAGGGCATGCATGTCGGCTACGGCATCCTGATGGGTTGGGTCAGGGAAGGGGGTCAGGAAAGGGTGCAACATCGAGAGGGGGCCAAAGCCGCGGTGCAAAAGTGGGGCATGGTGGGAGAGAAGTTAAATCTTTTCCAAGCAAATACAAACTTGGCTTGCAGCCTATCACCCGGGGTTTGGGGACCTTGGGTGATGCTCGATCCCTGCACACAACACTCGGCTGGCAGACAAGGAACCAAGAGCCTACATGGCCCCGTTGCATGAAGACCCGACAACCTCGCAGACTCACCTCCACCTCCGCAAAAAGCTTCCGCAGCTCTCTCTTCGCCAGGCTCCCCAGTGCTGCACTCATAAGCTCGGACTCAGGTCCCCAGGCAGCGGGGTCATAGGCATGGGCCTTCTCAAGATCGGCAGCCTGGGTTTTTATTGTACGGATAAGGGCTGGGCGCTGCCTAACCGGCACAGAGTCAGCACCAGGGAAGAGCAACCCAAGCCGCACCGCATCAGAGCTGGCATCGAGGGTGTCCTCCCGCTGCAGCTTCTGAAGAGCGAGCCGGCAGCGAGCATACTCAGCCTCTGGGCTGGCAGGCACCACGTCAGCTGCTTCCAGCTGCCGAGGCTGCTGCTGGAGGGACTGCTGTACCTGCACATGTAAGGATACGTTGGCATTACGATTTCACTGCTAAAATACCGCTTGCTTACCACAGCTGCATCACCGCCCTTCTGCTCCAACGCGGCCCCAAGGACACGGATGCGGTGTCTGGCACTGTCCAGGGCAGCTTCAGCCCGAGTCCGCATTCGCCACAACCTTGCCGGTAAATCCCTTACGACATCCCTGCAGTACAGCCGCGCCACGCGCTCCAAGTGCGCTTCCCTAGTGACAGGGTTCATGTATTGTGTGATACGGCCATGCGGACCGGCCACACTGTTGAATATCTCTGCTGGCTCGCCCGTCCCCTGTCCCACACCGTGCACCCCAAGGTGCCCAAACGCTTTCTGGCATGCGTAACTGCAGGGCAAAGGCAAACACGTATTAGGAGACGCACAAGGCCCAAACGGTGCTAAACACGCACCTGTGAGCATATCGGTGCCAGGGAGGAATGAGTGGGCGCATGCCTCTGCCCAGCCGCTGCAGGTCCGGCGTCTGGCGTTCCAGCCACTTGGCGTATGACTTGCCCCATCTGTAAAAGTACAACGTGTGAGGTGTCCACACAACCACCACACATCGTGCCTCAGAGGAACTTACCTGCACGCGATATCGTACCACCAGTACTGTACAGCGGTGCCAGCTGCAAGGAAGGACAGCGCTGCAGCAGTGGAGTATGCGTGCCGCTCCCCACTGAAGAGGTTCATGAGCCGCAGGAGCATCCCATGCCGGCATAACGCGACACCGACAGCCGTGATGAGGTTCTGCAATTGCAAGCCCCGTAAATCATCGAGAAATTCAGGTGCCTGCCGTCCAGACACATCATACCTTCCTTGATTCCGCAGCCAGGACCTGCAAGGCAGAGGGTTGGACAGCGGCAGCACGGCACGGCACGGCAAAAAGGTGGATGCCGCGAATTGCGTGGCGTAGTAAGCACATGGTGATTGGGGGGAAAAGGCAAAGGCTGCTCACTAAAAACACGCATTGGCTCCCGACCCACACCCACCTTGTCAGCATCGAAGTTCGAGCAGTGCGTCACACCAATCTGCTGTGACGCATGACCGTCCAAAAGCACCTGCTGTATCGATGCGTTGGGCAAGAAGTAACGGCGCCGTCCTAGCTGTGTGTAGCCAGAAACGTAGCCCTTATGGGACAGCAGGTTTAGCTTAAAGCAGGCATCGAAATGTACCGAGTGCAAGCTCGTGGGGCCAGGCCCTGCGGCTTCGGGGCTGCAGGTGTCCCGAAGCAGCCAGTCAGTCGACGCGAGCACTGCCGCCCCTAGCACTTCAGCGCCCGTGGACACCGCTGCCGCCATGGTTTCTGGGGCTGCTGCGCCGGCTGACGGGACTGGGGGGACGGGATTGCCCTCAGTGGCGGCAGGGCTGCCTGCTGCCGCCACCTCTGTGCGCTCCAGTCCAGGATCCGGCCCCTCCACTGCTGCTGCTTCTCCCACGACCCCCGGCGATGCGGCACCTGTAACAGGGGCTGGGGCGGCTGCGGCCGCACCATTCACTGCACTGCTGCACCTGAGAGTGTCCCCACAACAAGGGCACCCATTCAGAGCTCCACGGGGCCAGGTGCTAAGTGTGCCCTCCGGGTAGTCATCCACGACGCCCTGGCAGTCCATGTACAGGAGGAGTGCTTGCCGAAGGCGTTTACGAAGTGTGGTTGCCGAAACAGAAACTGGACGGCGGATGCCATTTTGCTCCCAGGTGTCAAGGAGTGCAGAGCAGAACGCGTCCGCACTCAGGTGCCTGCTCCTGAATGACACAAGGTCGAACAGCTGCAGGAGCGACTGGTGCCACCAGAGAACATGCTGGCCGTCTCGCTGGAGGTGGAGGTCCCACCCAGCCTTAGCGTCGGGTAGGCAGTTGAACTCTGTGGGACGCATGTTATGAAACGCCCGACAGGGTGTGCACCAGCACACAGGGACATCTACGCATATGGGTTGCTCCCAAGTAATGATGGTCACAGGGCAGGTCCGTCCCCCTTCGGGGGAGCGCACGGCGCACCGGGGGCACGCCTCAGGTCTGCTTCCCGCCAGGCTGCGAAGTACGCCAGCGCTGCTGTTCAGAAAGCAAGTCCGGCTCTCCGCGGCTGCTGCAAAGTCACGCACGTACGCTTCCCGCACATCTTGTGCTAACGTGGACTCTGGTCCGGGCTCTGGTTCTGGTTCCTCCTCGGCTGCGCTGAAACCGTCAGCATCTTCCGATGCTTCCACGTCGCCAGCGTCTTCACGGTGAATCGGATCAAAATCTTCGAGCTCATAGGTCGCGTCGTTATCAATGTTCACCGGCGCCTCTTGCGCATTGGCACTTGGGACAGCTACGTTTGTCGAAAGGCTCGGGGGCTGGGCATTCCGAAGCTGCTTTGCTCTATCCCGTCGCCTTTTATTCCTCTTTGCATTGGCAATGCTCTTCTTAATGGGGTCCTCGACCTTAAGCTTCATCAGCGAGTGAAGTTGGTAAGGCAAAGCTATTGTTTGTATTCACCTAACCAACAGAGCCAATTTCGCTTACTAACTGTCTACCTCATGCAATGGGAAATTTCGTTTGAAGCATTGGTTTGCTGTAGGGATGGGTAGTACATGCCGTACAAATTGGTATGGTGCTGGGCCGTCGGGAAGGTCGCCGGGATTGCGGGAAATCGATGGCGCTAGGCGGCGCGAGTCACTCCTGGACCTTCCCTAACTGGTCGGGCGCGTCCGGTGAGGGCGCTTCAGCCACGGCGAAATACTCCCCAGGGAAAATCGTTTGGGGAGATTCTCAGGCTCCCCAAGGGGAGAGAGCCCCGGTACAAACGGCCCTCCCCAACGGCAGAGGTCCCCACAGCTTGGGGACGCTGCCATAGCTGGAGTTATCTTCATCTGCTAGCTGCATCGAACATCAAACGAAGCCCTGACTTTATTCAGCCACAGCACTATTGTGGAAGTATGAAAGACCCACTGTAGTAGGATCGCATGTCACATGTCATAATGTCAAAATAAATACAACATGCTGTCTACAGCAATTGGCGCCGTCTGTGCAGACAGTGATATCGGAGCATGTCCCAGCGCAATCACGGGATGATTACCGTAGCGGAACTAAAGATTTTACAAATTAAAGATTTTACCGCAAAATTATGGATTTTAATATATTTTACGGAACGAAGTATTTTACCGCATGCTGGTGGATTTTGCCAAGATTTTACGGTACTGTGGATGATTTCCTGGGATTTTACCGGCCTGCAAAGCTACCCCACCATGCAACACCACTGCCCGCCTCCCTCTCACGCATGAGGGGAAATGAGAATCATCACAACACGTCTCAAATTAAGAAACTCCAAATTGTAAACCCCCATCTGAAAGCCAAGCCACCGTGACAAGGCCTCCAAACATCCACCATTCTGTACCAGCCGCAGAATTCTTATGATTGATGAAGGACGCGAGAGCATTTCACGACGCTCCAAGAAAGGGCCATCGTAACCATCTAAATACAGCCACTTCACGCCCGGCGACACCAACCAGCTTGTAAGAACTTAGATATGTCATCTCTCGAATGCCTACTGCACTTCGCTGGCAAAAGCCGCCGGTATGGCCGGCAGCTTGTCAATGAAGCGGTGTTTGCTGAGCTTGCGCTTGCCCATGCTGCTGCCAGAAATAGGTTAATATATTATTATGTTACAATATTATGTGTAAAATAGAATAAGATCTAGTGCCAAAAGCTTGCTGTGCGCGAAGGGCCATATATATTTTACCGCATCGCTCCGAATTCCCTCCCGGGAACTAAAGATTTTACGGTAAGACTCTGAATTTTGCCAAAATATTTTACCGCATGCAAATAATTATTTATTTTGTAAAATCTTTAGTTCCGCTACGGTAATTCGGCTAACGGCTAAAACGGCTAAAACTGGTAAGTAGTAGCGGCCCCGAGGCGCAGGTAATGTAGAAGCTAGGAGATACCAGTGTGAAATAATCGCCTGTGGCATAACGTGGTTTAATAGCTATCGTGGGAATATTGAGGGAGATTTCCCACTGCTTGCTGCTTGCTGCAGGACGGAAAGCGAAGGGACAAAATGAAGGCCGCCCAGGTCCTTTACATTATTTGAAGGAATGATAATCATTATCATTATGATTTTATGTTGGTATCAGCCCTGTTTATCATCATCGGTAGCTGTGACTGGACCGTTACACTGAATTCAAGCCCGATAGTTAGTAGGTTGGGCAAGGGCGATGCAAAGAAAGCAAATCCACTCAAGGATCATTAACATTCACTGAAAGGCAGCTCTGATGTAACAATCACAGCAGGCCTACTTCACCTGCTTCTTGGTGTGAGGAAGGCGGAATCTAAATCCGCTGCAACCTCGGGCCCAAAACGATCATGAGCGTTGTTGCCTCGTCGCTGCCTCCCTTACCCACACTTGCCTACATAGGCAAACAGATCTTTCCAAAGCATTTTGGAGGGCTGCTGCTTGACAAGCTGTGGCTATGAGGTACGGCCTCAGAGGCAGGCCTTGGCGGAAGGCCCTGTATGCTGTCTTCCCCGTATGTACTTGGACCTTGAAGTCTGTCTGCCCTTGGCTTACTCTTTTACTCCTCAGGAATTTGAGGTACATACGGGCCGCACCGATGTACGTCTAGTATACCTCGGATTGGGGGAGGGTGTAAATGGCCCACCCGATGTGCGTGTATCTGGGAAATCAATGTCTGTCCCAGATGACATTAGAAGAGAGCCAACGTATTGGAGTGATGTGTGTCTACTGTTCGTGCATTGCAGCTCATTATAACATTAACACGCAGCGAAATGTTCTCTTCCGGTAGCTCAGTAGAGCATAAGTCGGTAATAAGGAAAAATCATATTGAGCAACTTGCTATCCTATCTCAACGTTTCTCAAGACAGGCCTAGTTTGCGTAGCAATCCTCCTGCGCGCTTAAGGAACGCACTGAATCGCCAGCACCGAATGTAGGTGGTCGAAGCTAGCTTGCAGCATCATCAGGCTGGTGTCTGGACTCTAAACACTGGTACATGTGCAGTCACAACAATGGGAGCTTGATGCAATGTAAGAATGCGTGCCGCCGTGCAGGGCAAAGCGAGTGATGATTGCAAGGTGACCTTTCATTGTTGTCGCAGGAGGATTTAACAAAGCAAGGACAGTGTTGATGAATGATGACATAGGATAATAAAAGTGCTAAATATAATTTATACTTACCATCATGTGCCATACTGAGCTTTTCACACTGCGATAGATTTCCAGGATGAATACAGTGGCTCTCTCTTTTCCGCAGCGGTGAGGTGGTAGCGTGAAGATTATGTTACAGAATCCCTAATACTTAAGATTATATAGGAGAAGGAGTGTTATGTGTCAGAGAACTGTGAGATCATGGAGTCGGTCGCAACGACGGGTAGCGCTAACGGTAGCGTTAGGATCCTAGTGCAAATACAGCTGCAGACTCAGTTTGACGAATATATTATGATCAAAGAATTAACTTGATAATAATTTTCTTAAATGTTCTTAAATCCTGTCATAGCAGAATTTCCGGGCCTGCGGGCACACGCTTTCTCAATGTCATTTTCTCAGGTGGATATATACTTGCTCCTTTTTTAGATTGTCAAGATTCAAATGAAGCAAAGCTTAATCAAATGGCATCTCAGCGGTATCTTGTAAGCATCTTAGTCCAAATGTACGGAAGCGTTAGGACGTATTGCCACAGCACCCTAACTCCAGCAAATATGCAAATGACGATGGCATCTTTTGCGATGGGCTATGCATGTTCTACCGAACTTACGTGCAAGGAAACCCAACTGTTCATGCGTCATATTCGCTTTGGTTCGGACATTGGCTGTCCAAAATTCGTTCGGGCTTTAAGCCATACAAAAATAACAACTATATCTCTCACGCACTACACGTCACGTTGCTACATGCGGTAGCCATACCGGATATACACGGAAATATACGCTTATGGCATGGTACCATCTGACTGGCTGTTGAGATCGTAAATGGTGCTAGGTGGCCCAGAACGCGCCTTGGAGTCAAGAGGTAACGGTCTTGTCAGTCGACACACCGTTGGCTCGACCGATGCTGCCAGACGATGAGACATCGCCGCCGCGCATCGTCAGTCAGCGCGAGGGGCCTAGCGACGACGGTCAAGGAGCTAATGGTCGGCGTCCATCGGCGCCGCTCCGCTGCAAGGCGAGTCGCTTAGCTTTCGCGACGGGACGGCACGGGGGCCCGTCTTAGGATGGTGAAGGGACCGCCTTTACCTCGTGCTGGGTGTTACAGTAGGGAGAACACCGGGAGGAGGCATTCGTGTGGCCGTACCTGCGCGGGCTATTTTTCGAATGCCGTTGCAGGTCAGGCCTTCGCCGCGCAACCCAAGCGTATGTGTTCCTTTCGCGGCCATGGCAGGTTGAAAACTGCAATGCAAACCTGGATAGTGCACCCAAGACGCATCAGCGATTCCGGCTCTGCAATAAGCACATCAAAGCTCCCGTTATATTGGTCGACGGCATCGCGCAACGCTTCTGCCAACAATGCTCCAGGTTCCATCCACTTGCAGATTTTGACGGATTAAACAGGTATGTCTCAGTAATAGTAACTGATTTGGCGAAAGGATGGTGCAAAGGACTAGCTTATTTCCAACGGTAGCTTCGCTTGTCAAAGTCATCGGAAGCCTTGAACATCATATCGTAGAAATCTTACCCGTTCTAACATTCGTTTTTAATTATTACTGGTTACCCGCCTGTCCCTGAGTCCCCGTATTCGTATTGGGAAGCCAACTAGGTGTAACGCAGCCGCGACGCCGCGACTCGAACCTCGGCAACCAGCATCTGCCCAATCCCAGCATGCAAACTGAAAATACAATTCAAATTTACGAAAGAAAAAAGAAAACAAGATTGCACGTTGTCGGCCTATTTGTATGGCTCTGCAGGACTTGCCGAATGATGTTGGCCAAGAACCGCGCCCGCCAACGCAGCCACGCCCAACGACAAGCTTCCCTTCCAGGACTGCTTCCTTTCCAGCTTGCCACCAGCATCGCCCTTCAACCCCCTTGGGAACAGCAACAACGCAACGCCTTCGGCCTCGGAGGTAGCGGGCGAGGTGGTGGCCTTGGTGGCATCGGGATAAGACCCGTGCTGTCCGGCGGCCGAGGCGGCCTCTTTCCATCGGGCGGCGGCGGATCACACCCCAGCGGTGACATTGGCCTGGCGATGTTCGGCAGTACGGTGCATGGGACAGCGTATGGACATCTTGGCCAGCTGGGGGGCCTGCCAGAGCAAGGGTTGCATGGGGCCGAACGTTGGCTATCTTCGGCTTCCCGTCAACAGGTAGCCGCCGCGGGAGGCGACGACTCCGCGGCGGCGGCTTCGCAACACCTTTCCGGGCTTAATCCGCCGCCGCCGCCGCCGCTGCCAGGTAGCCGTCAGACACCTTTTACAGCTGTCTTACAAAGCGACACCCATGTGAGCTACTCAGCTGTACGACGGGGTATGAGCGGCGGCGACGCCGGCAGCGGTGACGTTGACGGCAGAGACAACGTCAGCGGCGGTCAATTCAATCGGCGGAGCTACAACAGCAGACGCCGCTGTGGCGTTGACGGCGGCGTTGGCAGCGGCAGCGTCGACAGCGACGTTAGCCAAGACAGTTCAAGCGGAAGTAGCGACGACCTGTTGAAGGCAGATATGCCTGCTGACGTCACCGTCAAGGAGCTGCAGCCTAGCGGAGCTGCTACAGCCGAAATGGCTGCTGAGCCTATCGGTCCATCTGCTACTGCTCAGGTCGAGGGTGGCTCAGGCTCAGGCCTAGGCATGGGGCTTGGATTGGATCCTAGCCCAGGAACGTACCTTAAAGTCGGTCCTGGGGAACGGCACAACGAGCACGTCGCAGGCGGCATTCAGCCGCAGCTACAGCCTCCTCTTCTGAGCCCATTCGTCGTACCATCCTCTGCGCAGTGCGCTACAGCCGCTGCACCTGCAGCCCTGGACGCCGCTGGCAGACCTGCGGCGGCGGGTGCGGCCGCTGCTGCCGTCCCGGCGGCTATGAACGTGAATCTTGCGACTGGTTTCGTAGGGGCCCCGACATCGACTCCACCGGCAAGGGGCGGCGGCAACAGCTCGGGAGGTAGTGAGGTGGTTCTCCGGATGGGTAGTTCCGATGAGCGCCTCACACTGCTTCTGCCGCCGCTGACCCATGGGTCCGCATTGTGGCCAGGGGACCAGCAGCCTGCAGGCCGCAGCGGAGGCGGCGGAGGTGGCAACAGTACGGGAATACTGCCTGCACTGGCGGCGCCAGCGGCGGGCACGTTTCTGATGGGCACCGGCCTGGGAGAACCGGCGGTCGTGGATGCGGCGATGGGTGGTTCTACACATCGCCCACGCAGCCATAGCGGCGCTGGGGCCGCTGCGCAACCCGGCGAGGCCTTGCGGCCTGTCGGCAGCGGTTCGGGCGCGATGGGATCGGGGACCGGGGCTGTCCACGTGGATAGCGGCGGCGGAGGCGGCGGTGGCGGAGCAATGTGCGGAGGGGACAGCAGCGATAGTGGCGGGGCCGGCGGCGGCGGCGGCGGTGTCCCGAAGCGGCGGCGGCAGAGGGATGCCGTCAGCAATGAAACCGGATCTGGATTGCCCCCCTTCGCTCTCGACCTCGACTTGGGCCTACTACAACCGCCGCCACTCGCGCTGCAACAGCTGCAGTACCAGCAAGTACGGCAGCAGCTGCTGCTGCAGCAGTTGGACCTACAGCGCCAGTGGGAACGAGTACGACAGCAGCAACAACAGTTGCAGCAACAGCAGCAGCTGCTCTTGCAGCAGCAGCAGCAGCAGCAGCAGCAAGGAGGCTCCATCACACCACCACCCACATCGACACCATCCCTACCGGCTTTCCTTCCCGTCGGCCCAGTGGCATCATCAACAGCTGCCGGACAGGCGTCCGTACTGAGGTACCGATATTCCGCCCCCATGTCCAAAATAGGACATGGGATTGTCCGCTTTGGCAGCTTAACAGCGCGACCGGACTCCGCCGCCGCTACTGCTGCGGCAGCAGCCGATGTTAGTAAGGCCGGCGGCGGCGGCGGCATGGACAGCGTCGGAGCCGGCCGTGCGCCCGCGCTTATGGCACGTACCTTTTCAGATACCGTTAATGGGCTTGGTTCCGCTGCTGCTTCTTTAGCTTCTGTTGGCAGCGGCGGTGGCGGCCGCGGCCGCGGCGGCTCCGCTGCAGCAGATGCTGGCCTTCCCCCCTGCCCCACGGCTGGGGCTATCGCGGACGCCGTTGTGTTAGGGGGTATCGACGGAGGAGGTGGCGTCGTCATAGCTGCGGCAGGGCCTGCGGTCGGCCCAGGTGCATCCGCGGCTGCGCTGCAGCCGCCCGTGCTACAGCCACCGCTGCGGCCGGAACGCCTGCTCGTCCCCCCGCCACCGGACATATTTGAGCAGCTTGATGCTGGCGTTGACGTGGAGACGCTGCTGCTCGCGGCGGCGGATGACAGCGCCGGCATTTCCGACGGCGGTGTCCTGCCCACTGCCATCGGCATCGGCTTGGGCCTTGGCTTCTCGGATGGTCTCGGAAGCAGCGGCGTCGTCCCCGGTGGCGCCGGCAGTGAGCTGACGGGGCCGCATGAACTGGCCGCCTTGGCTGCCGAGTGGTCGCAGGAGCTCTCCGATTATCCCGCTGACACGGCGCCCCTGGCGGCGGCGGCGGCGCCGCCGCCGCCACCGTCGCTGCCAGCGTCACAGCCTGGTCCCCTGCCTTTCCAGGGAGGGGCATCGTCAATGCCGCTGCCGCCAACTTCGGTAGCGGCGGCCGCAGCGGCCTCGGGTGTACCGCACCTACTTGTGCCGCCGCCGCCGGCGCAGCGGCTGTCCTTCCCTGGCGCAGCCGCAATCCGTGAGTCTGTCCCGCCGGCTTTCAACCGTTTTTCTGATGAATCGCGCCTATTCGTAGTGGGCTCTACAGTCGCTGTGCCGCCAGGCCTGTTTGCCACTGGGTCAGCTGGCGGCTCGGCGCTGGCGGCGGCAGCGCCGCCGCCGCCGGTTGGGGAGGCGATGTCGCCGCCATCGTCGGGGGCGTTGGAGGTACGACACACGGCCGTGTCGTCTAACGCTGCAGGTGCAGGAGCCGGAGAAGATGGAGGTAGAGCAAGACAGGAAGGAGGAGAAGGGGGAAGAAGCGGCAGGCAGCACACTAATGCAGCCGGCTCAGCTGTCGCGATGAGATCCTCGCAGACCGTAGCACCAGGCAGCAGAGGTGCAGCCGTCCTACAGCCCATGGGTATCACACCACAGCAACAGCAGCAGCACCAGGAACAACAGCAGCAGCAACAACAACAACAGCAACTGCGGCAGCAGCTGTTGCAGCTTGTAGACACGGACTTAGATGCCGCAAGCTGCTACAACCTTCCGGCATTTTTTCCGGTTTCCGGAGCAACCACGGTTTTACAACAGCCATCTGTTTGGTCCGTCAGCAGCAACAGCAGCAGTAGCAGTGGCATGTCGCCGTTCTCACTTCAGAAACAGCAACTGGAGCAACTACAACAGCAGATACAGCACTTACAGCAGCTACAGCACCAGCTGCAGCAGCAACTGCAGCAACACCTGCGGCAGCAGCAAGAGCAGCTAGGGGGCCGGGGATCACGGCAAGAAGACACAGCGTCTCCCCACGGCTCGTCGCTACAGCTACAGCTGCAGCTACAACAACATATCCAGCAACAGCAACAGTTACAACAACAGCTACAGCAACAACAGCAGCTACAGCTGCAGTTGCAACAGCAGTTGCAGCTTCAGCAGCACCAGCTACAGCTGCAGTTGCAGCTACAGCAGTACAAAGCGTACGGGTACCCCAGGACATCAGCTGCTAACCCGCCCAGCGCGGCCCGCTCCGGATCAGTTTCCTTTGTGCGCGCCAGCGCCCCCGCTCCGGAGGTAGAGCCCCTCGCTGGGGGTCAGGCTGCTACTGCCACAGGCTCGCGCCGTCAGCCATCGTCTCCTCAACTTCAATCTCTTGCCGCCGCCGCAGCAGCAGCATCAGGAGCGCCTAAGTTTCTGCTCCCCATCAATCCGCTTTCCTTCATATCGCTGTCGCCGCCGCCGCCGCCGCAGCAGCAGCACGGTGCGGCCGCCGCCACGGCTGCAGATTACCGTATCGCCGGCGGAAGCGGTGGTGGCGGACGCGGCGGCAGCGATTGTTTCGGGCAGCCGTCGGGTCGTGGAAGAGGCTCGACTGGGTCACTTCCGTGGCTACAAATGCTGCCAACATCGATGTTAATTCATCCGTACATGTACGGCACCGATGCAGCGGCGGTCGTTTCGCCAATGCACGGCAGCAGTGGCGTTACGACTGCGTCGACGCCGACGGAGACGTCCGGTGGCGGCGGCGGCGGCGAGCCCCGTACTCTTAGCAGTACTGCTCAGGCTATAAGCCGTGTGGTTTCATCAGACAGCAGCAGCCGTGGCAGCGGATGGGCGGTGCGCGGCGGCGGCAGCGGCCTTGTCAGCGGGCAGCAGCAACAGCAACTGTACGACGCCACCGACGCTGCTGCATGGGCGCTGCAGCAGCAGCTGATGCTGCGCGCCTCGGAGTCG